TTTATATTGTCACGGACTTTACCATTATGTCAAGAAGGAAGAAGGTGTCTGTTTAATTTAATTTAATTTAATTTAATTTAATTTTCTATATTATTATAATAATAATAATTATTATCATCATTATTATTATTATTATTATTGTCCATTTACAGATCCCTCGTGTTTGTTCACTAAATATCAGTGTACTGTACTTAAAAGATGAAAAAATAAATAAATCTGTTCATAAAAAATAAATCTATTCTGTAATCTTTAATTTAATTTAATTTAATTTAATTTAATTTAATATTTTAGGACTGGCGGGGTGGGATAGGGGGCAGGGGGTGTATAAAAGTTAAAGAAAAAAAGTGTTGTTCACGTGTTTGTTTACTGAATATCAGTGTACTATACTTATAAGACGAAAAAATAAATCTGTTAAAAAAATCCTAAGGAATTTCTGCAAAAAAAAAATGTATTGCTGTCAGCTGGAGGGGTCCTCCTTAACCCCCAACACTTTCTCAGGGGATGTCAGAGATGTCAAGTTATGTCCCCCTTGATTAGTTATTTTATAAAATCCATTCCATGTACAAGTGATGATTGTTAAAACAGGAGGAACATTCTTGTTTTGAGTTAGTTTGGTTATTTTGTGAAAATGCAACAATTGTATGTGGACTTGTATTGTATATTATATGAGTGTAAAATATTGTATTTCATGTTGTCAAAAATCTGAAATATTGCAGACAAAACAACTACTACTACCAATTATTAATGATGATGAGACACAGACTTAGAGGAAAATATAACTTCCCTAATTTGTCTTTCTTGTGAAGTCTTGCAGAGAGAGGGTTTTAGGAAAATTACTTTTATCTTGAAGTGCTGTTTCCTGCTTTAGAGTGTCTAAATAACAGACAGCAACTTGACAGAGACAACAAACAAGCTTGATGATATCATAGATATAAAAAGGTATATATGTTCATGGACGACATGGCCAAACACAAGGATGATGCTGCTTGTGTTAAACTGTGTGGACCTTGAACTAGTGACTAAGGAGAAAGCTGGATCCTGTGGCTGGACCAGTTGGGAACCACTGGGATAGACTTTAGTGTACCAGTGGGAAGTTTGCCTTATTGGACATCACAGTGTCTGCAGTATAAAATCACAGCAAAATGCACATGCCCGTCTACATCAGTAAAAGTGCACACATGGTACTATAATGTGATCAGTGACAAGAAGGACAGCTACACCATACACATAGTTCAGTCTGGGTGGTGTTAAGGGCTTCACAGGAGAGGAGGACAAAGGACTGTTTGAAGCAGTGGTGCCTGCTGAGGGGAAGGAGCTCATACTCAGGGTGGAGAACATGAGATGATTTCTGGGGCCTGTTTATGGCTTGTAATGTCCATATGGGCTGCAAACCTGTATGTGCATGACACAATAAATAACATAGCTATTACCTTGTTCTAACATTATATTATCTGATCATTACAAACATTAAGTCAGATTTATATGTATAAATACAACTGTTGCATGCTGGACAACCGCAGATATATAACTGGTAATACTGAGCTTTCAGGTCCTGGCATTAAGACATCTTCTCATCTACTCACTTCATACCTGTTGTTTTGATAAATCACAGGCACTGACTCAGTTGGTATCATTTTTAAAACTGCCTGTTTTACATCAGTCAAAGATGGAAAAATAGATTTCAGTTATCCTACAGTGAAACATGACACTTTCAGAACATTAGCATATATCTTTAATCACTGAATCTTCTTTAAAATGTTATACACATACTGTGGAGACACATTGAAACAGCAGTTCAGCAAAACATTGACTTCTACTGCCCTCTAGTGTTCACAGCAAGAAAAGCACAGGACAAGTACAGTACAAATAATTTTAAATATTAAAACACAGTCTTAGCAGCAGTGTCAGGCAGAGACCACGGTAAAATACCTACTGGAAACGTGCATTAGCAGTACAATAGACTGTATATTATATATCACATAATAAAATGCACATGACAATACTCAAACAAAAGGTTCATTCTGTCCAGTTCAATATATGAAGAACTGTGAGTGTATGTGAGCACATTCTCATGTCACAGTCAGACTATAAAATTTTTTACACCAGATTCTTCTTCTTCTGTTATGCTTTATTAAAGTTTATTTAAGAAGTACAGTACAGGCCAAAAGTTTGGACACACCTTCTCATTCAATGCGTTTTCTTTATTTTCATGACTATTTACATTGTAGATTCTCACTGAAGGCATCAAAACTATGAATGAACACATGTGGAGTTATGTACTTAACAAAAAAAGGTGAAATAACTGAAAACATGTTTTATATTCTAGTTTCTTCAAAATAGCCACCCTTTGCTCTGATTACTGCTTTGCACACTCTTGGCATTCTCTCCATGAGCTTCAAGAGGTAGTCACCTGAAATGGTTTCCACTTCACAGGTGTGCCTTATCAGGGTTAATTAGTGGAATTTCTTGCTTTATCAATGGGGTTGGGACCATCAGTTGTGTTGTGCAGAAGTCAGGTTAATACACAGCCGACAGCCCTATTGGACAACTGTTAAAATTCATATTATGGCAAGAACCAATCAGCTAACTAAAGAAAAACGAGTGGCCATCATTACTTTAAGAAATGAAGGTCAGTCAGTCCGGAAAATTGCAAAAACTTTAAATGTGTCCCCAAGTGGAGTCGCAAAAACCATCAAGCGCTACAACGAAACTGGCACACATGAGGACCGACCCAGGAAAGGAAGACCAAGAGTCACCTCTGCTTCTGAGGATAAGTTCATCCGAGTCACCAGCCTCAGAAATCGCAAGTTAACAGCAGCTCAGATCAGAGACCAGATGAATGCCACACAGAGTTCTAGCAGCAGACCCATCTCTAGAACAACTGTTAAGAGGAGACTGCGCCAATCAGGCCTTCATGGTCAAATAGCTGCTAGGAAACCACTGCTAAGGAGAGGCAACAAGCAGAAGAGATTTGTTTGGGCCAAGAAACACAAGGAATGGACATTAGACCAGTGGAAATCTGTGCTTTGGTCTGATGAGTCCAAATTTGAGATCTTTGGTTCCAACCGCCGTGTCTTTGTGAGACGCAGAAAAGGTGAACGGATGGATTCCACATGCCTGGTTCCCACTGTGAAGCATGGAGGAGGAGGTGTGATGGTGTGGGGGTGTTTTGCTGGTGACACTGTTGGGGATTTATTCAAAATTGAAGGCACACTGAACCAGCATGGCTACCACAGCATCCTGCAGCGACATGCCATCCCATCCGGTTTGCGTTTAGTTGGACGATCATTTATTTTTCAACAGGACAATGACCCCAAACACACCTCCAGGCTGTGTAAGGGCTATTTGACCAAGAAGGAGAGTGATGGAGTGCTGCGGCAGATGACCTGGCCTCCACAGTCACCGGACCTGAACCCAATCGAGATGGTTTGGGGTGAGCTGGACCGCAGAGTGAAGGCAAAGGGGCCAACAAGTGCTAAACACCTCTGGGAACTCCTTCAAGACTGTTGGAAAACCATTTCAGGTGACTACCTCTTGAAGCTCATGGAGAGAATGCCAAGAGTGTGCAAAGCAGTAATCAGAGCAAAGGGTGGCTATTTTGAAGAAACTAGAATATAAAACATGTTTTCAGTTATTTCACCTTTTTTTGTTAAGTACATAACTCCACATGTGTTCATTCATAGTTTTGATGCCTTCAGTGAGAATCTACAATGTAAATAGTCATGAAAATAAAGAAAACGCATTGAATGAGAAGGTGTGTCCAAACTTTTGGCCTGTACTGTATATTAACTAAATGGCTCCATCTCGCCTCCAAATTCCTCAGAACCCAATCTGATTGAGCATTCATGGGACATGCAGGTGCCCCAGAGGTACCCCCAATCCCAGGTGGGGCCTCCTTGACTCTGACTTGGCTCTGTCCTGTTGGGGCATGGCCACAAGACCTCTGGGGGGTGTCCTGTGGTGCTCAGCACCAGGGAGTTGGCAGCAGACCCCTTGAGTCGTGGGGGTTGTGAGGTGGTATATCAGCACATCCAACAGATGCTGGATCAGACTGGGATCTGGGGAATTTGGAGGCCAGGTTGACGCCTTGAGCTCTTTGTCATGTTCTTCTGGGTATTCCTGAGCAGTTTTTACTGTGTGGCATGGTGCATTGTTCTGCTGGGGGGCCACTGCCATCAGAGATGCTGCTGCCACGAGGGAGTGTACTTGGTGTGTAACAATATTTGGGTGAGTGGAGCATGTCAGGTGGCATCCACATGAATGCTAAAGTGAAGGTTTCCCAGCAGAACACTGTAACAAGATGATCAAAGTTATTTCACCTGTCAGTGGTTTTAATGTTTCAGCTGATCTGTGTATATATGTTCCCAGCAATATCCTCTCAGGGTGTCATATTTCCACCCCCACAGTGTAGGCACCCCAAACAGCCAGGAGGAGTCACCAGTGCAGCAACAATGACAAGAACCCTCCCCTCCCGTCCTGTCCTTTTACAACTGGTGAAAAGTAAAGGCCCGTTTCCACCGCAGGAACTTCAGGGTAATTTTACGGGGCCGGGGCCGTTGGTGCGTGTCTCCACCGCAGGAACCACCCCCGATATATATATATATATATATATATATCTTCTATAAGTAGTATCTTCCCTCCAAAACTGGCATATTAAATTGATATTAAAACACTTTAAAACTTCCACCACTTCCACTCAGGAGTTCTTACCTGTCGGGATCCTTCGGGAAACGGTGGAAGGCCAGGTGCGGGGTGTTCCACTGATAGTTGTTGCAGTTAATTGCACTACACTGTTTTCTTTTACTTTTTTTCTCCTCTCTCCTTGACATCTTGCATGTTGTCTGTGTGCAACGGTCTCAGCTCAACAGTCCAAGATGGCGGCAGCGCTACAGCAGCGCCCCTGGTGGCTGTTGGCAGAAATTCAACGGAGCTTCGCCTCTTGGTATCCATGCTCTTTGTTGTAGCTTTGGACAGCCCTCAGCACTTCCGGACTACCTGTGAGCGCGCCCGCACAGTGTACAAATCTGAAAGTGAAGTGCGGACATTTGGATTCAGCCTTAACCTCCGTTCTCCCCTCTGCTCCCGCAAGCTGTCATTTCAGACGGGATCGTCGTGTCCTCCTCCAGCCCATTCATCTTCAGTCACCCAGATGTAAGTACGCTAACCTCAATGCATTACATTCACAGCTAAATATATTACTGAGAGACTAAGTTTAACTGTTAAATACTATGTAGTAGCCTAGTGTGCTGTTTTGACATTCACTGACTATAGATTTAGCTAATATTTAACATGTAAATAAACTCCAGTCCTGCATCATCCAAAGAGTAGTACTTCTGCTTGCGAAGTGTAATCTTGTTACTTAAAAAATGTAGGGGTTTTTTGTTGTTGTTTTTTAAATCTAGGATGTCTGGGAGGCTTACGTCATTTCTCTCCATAATAACAAAAACTTAAAGTGTTAGAGTGGTAGAAAGTGGTGGGGTACCAAAATTGCCCTTTGGTCAGGCTTGTCCTTGTTGACTAATTATCTCCAACGACAAGTTACTAAAAAACCTGCTGAACTAAACATATTATGAATCCTTTTATATTAAATCTGCTTCTGATTGTACAGTGCCATTTCAATCAGGAGAGACTCCTTTTGTATAGTAGAAAGAATGTTTAATATCATGTGCACATAAGAATGAAAAAATGTGGAAAGTCTTTGGCGATTAGACCGCATGGAGATGGTATGAGTTAAGGAGGGTGATGAATCCACAGTTTAGAAGAAGGAGCCTTTGTTCGTCCTGGACTCTGGGTATGATGGGTGCAGGTAAATGGGGTAGAGGAGGGTGGAAAGATTCTGCCTAAAATGACGGCTGACAGCAGCAGAGGAGAGAACAGGTATGAAAGATTGCAGTGGCATCCTGATTGGCTGAGAGAGATCGTGGTAAAGTTTGATTGGATAACTAGAATAGTGAACACCCATAGTCAGCTGACAGGAGGACGCAATGGGAGTAGGAGGGAGAGAAAAATAACCGTCTTCCTGGTTGAACTTAAACTGAAGCCGTTTCTCAATACACAAGTTCAGCAGTTCGGACTTGTATCTGTTTTTCTAAACTTCCTCGAAATAATGAGAATATTCGTGCCTTGTTTCAGAAAGAAATTGTATCTATTCCAAATGTCATGTTTTACTGGAACCGATTTGTAGACAACATTGACTGGAACAAAGTTTGGATGATTCCTCACAGATACCTTATAGTGAACAAGGTGAAAGAAGTGTCGTTCAGAATAATTCACAGATATTACCCTGCTAATCATTACATGGTTAAATTTAAAAGAGACATCAATACAAACTGTTCTTTTTGTGAAGACCACCCAGAAACTGTTTTGCACCTCTTTTGGTATTGCTTACACACCAGAACATTTTGGCAAAACTTCAGCAGATTTGTCATTGACTATATTTATAAAGACTTTACCTTATTGTGGGAGAATGTGGAATTTTGCTTTTATATAAGTCAAAGTAAAGAAAATATGTACTTCAATATAAATTTGTTAATTTTGTTGGCAAAGTTCCACATTCATAAATGTAAATTCACCAGTAAAAAACCTAATTTTATATATTTTCTCCATGAAGTTGTACATTATATTAATTTAATTTCTGGCTCCAACAACAGAAAGGCAGTTAAAACTGTCAACATATGGTCCTCTTTCTCCTTTTAATAACTTATAAGCCTCCCCTGGCAAAGCTTCATTTGTGCTTATTTGTATTCTATATGTTCGTTCACTATTATATCTATCTTTGTAAGTCACATCTGAACTGTAAACCACTTTTGCAATAAAGATGACTTAACATAAAAAAAAAAATAAAGGAGATACCCCACCGTAGGCTTAAAAAAAAAGCAGTTTGGACTTGTGGACTTGGCAAATTGGCAAGTCCGCGCGAGAGTCCGGACTTCCCAAGAACGGGAGGACGGGAGTACAGTCATTTCTGCTTTTGGAACAGCAGCGAACTTGATGATGTCACCACCTCCGCTCGCCTTTGCTGTTGTACTGTGTTGTATACATGCATTCAGAATAAAACAATAAAAACACAGCCCAGCCCTGCGTCTTTTCATAGACATTGTAAGAAATTAATGTGTATATGTTTTTAACGTTTCAACATATATAACTGACACACAAAAACAAATAGCCAAAATAGTTTCATAAAATGTCTTATAAAACCTTTTCCCCGCAGCTTGATCATATTTAATCTATAGCCTATCCAATTCCCGCACCTGGCCTCTGATAATAATCAAAAGTCAGGTGCGGGGGGAAAGTTTGTGGAGAGTTGGTGGTTATTGTGATCGTGAGCATTGGCGAGATGGAAATCAAAAATCAATAACGGACATGGATCGTAGAAGGCGTCTTGGTGCATGGTATTGCATTCTGTACCTGCAGGCTGAGGAGGAGGCTGCCCAGCTGAGGAGGCAGATCCCAGAAAGACAGCGGAAAATGAGGCGGAGGATGAGGATGACACGTGATGAGACGAATGAAATGAATGAATGAAAAATTTAAAAAAAATACTCATTATACAGAGTGACACAATTTCAAGTGTTGTTATCATCATATACATTCTTAGTTACTGTCCATCAATGCATTTGTCTCATCATTATGCTTTCTGTCTACATTTCTATGGAGACATGACAGTTTACTTGGTACACCTAGAAAAAACAACAGCAGTTAAATATTGTATTAAGTCTAACATTTTATTGAAGAGTTGAGTTGTAGATTGTGGTGCTGTTGAACTGTACTGGATTACACTGACAGCAGTCTCTCATTTAGTCTGTCCTCACCAAATATAAATGGGATCAAACGGGTCAGATGTTCAGAGGAAAAGTTTATTCAGCCACACTTCAGACATCGGGTATACAATTTATATCAGATAATCAATATTTAAAATGCTGTTGAATAAATACTACAATAAATACCATTAATCTTTAAATACAATAATTTAAATACAATAAATTCTTAAATTAAAATCATTATTGAATTGTAAAAACATAAATAAGCAAAAGAATACATACAAAGAACAATTACATTAACAATGTTACAACATTTAATAATATAATAATATATCTTATATACTGAGACTGGATGTTGCCCATTAGACATTCCCCAAATGAGTTACATTTCATATTTAACCACTACAGAGATATCAGTGACAAATTTTAAAGGACTACCCAAGAGAGGCTGCTCTCGGGGCAGCCTGAGCGCTCATACACATAGCCTATGTTTATTATCTATGAGTGCTGACACCGCTGTCATCTAGCGGACCTCACATTCAAGTGGGCTCTGTATTAATAGCCTACATTGACCACGGGTTTGAAGTTTAAACTACGCATGAAAACACTACGTTCCGTGACAACACAACAGTAACATATCGGTAATTTTGGCTTATTGCGCCTTTCCCTCACTTGTCATTTCTGAAGATTGTTGCAAAATGAATGCTGGGATACCTGGTTGTCTGAAGTCCACACAAGTCTGCTCCGATGCATCCCCGGTGAAAGGGGCCTGGCGAGAACACATCCAGGCATTTTGACTGAACTTGGCTAGATGTGAACTTTGAACTGGAACAGTACTTGGGCTGTGACTGATGATGTGTCACAAGTCCACAAGAACACAAGTCCGCACAAGAACGCATATTGAGAAACGGCTTGAGCTTCATTTAGCCTATTGTTCCTGTTGGTGTAATTTAAAGTGCTGTATCAAGATAATCAATATCAGGGCTTGATTTCTATCACAACTGTCTGCTCTAAATAGTTGTTTAAAGGTAGGGTCTGGAGGATTTTCCAGTTGCTGTTTGTAAACACACATTCAAATTTGGTCCCTCCTATCAGGCTCAACTCTCCCGGGTGTACGGAGCCCGGAGGTACGGAAGAAGGCTTCACAGAAGTTCAGGCAAGGCTCGCGCTGGTGCACGCTTGGACAAGCTCGGGCAAGGCACCTGCGCTCTCTCATTGGCTGGGGAAATCTCCGCCCAGAAGCAGTCCGAGCTCACAAAAACATCAAAATACAGTTAAAGGGCAGGAGCTCTGCAAACAGAGTCACCACCACACGAGTAGAAGCCCATAGGTGATGATTAAGCAGGATTTCATTTGTATATGTCTATATTTTGTTTTGTTTGAAAATCCTCCAGATCCAACCTTTAATGAGACACTGACAAAGCTTAAATGTTTGTTTGAAATGTTTTTTGTTTTTTTTTTCTTTAATTGTGAGTATTCGCACAGGAGCATGTAAGCCACCAGATCTATTAGGGTATCCGAGCTAAAGATTCAAATGGGTTTTATTGTGATGAAAATATCTTAACACAAATATTTATATGCAGTATTTGTATCTCTATAAAAATTAAGTTAAGCCATATGCAGCTTTCAGACAACCTGTCATTGTCTGCTACTACTTTTAACAGTGGAAATTAAGCTGTTCTGCAGTTTTTATTTCACAGCAAGTACAAAGAGCAAAAGAGGAAGTGCAGGTTTCCTGTGATATGAATTTATAGAGTTGTCACTGCTCCAAGTCTCTCAATGAACTTTGCTTATACAGCTCATGATAGCTCGATTATCAGCAGTGATTTTCTAGACCTACAAAGTATTTTGATTTGGTCTTTATTCCTTGGTGTTAGAGCTTCTACCACAAGACAGTAAGTGACTAGTTAAATATATTTGTTGATGTTGTCTTTTTCAGTTGTGTTTTTGTTGTTATTTCCTACTTTGTTGTGCTGTAGCCCAAAGACAGTAAGACAAGGTTAATACCGTTAAACGTCCAGTTATGACTTGCACATGACTTTAAGTCATTAAAAAGACATTCGTCCTTATAACTACACTCTATCTATATTTCACATACAGTGCCTGTTAGCAGGAGAACTCACTGAGCTCTGTGCAACATGCCGTGGCTCTTTCAAAAACAGACTAGAGGCATATTTCTTTTTCTGGGAGCTTCTGAAACACTCTGCACTGTGTCTGCTGGAATTACAACAATTGTCTTTAGTGGCAGCGATCAGCCCAGGTGGCTGGCAGAGATCTGCACTCTACTGAGTGAACTTTTCTAGTTAAGGTTGGATTTCTTTTCACATATTAACATTTACAACAAGCTAATGATGCTGTAAATAAATGTCTGTTTGAAATGTGTGGACAGGTAAGTGAAAAGCAGAGCAGACTATAGTAGAAAGAAACGACAGATGGTCAGTAATTTGTGATGTAACTTTCCACCAAATATTTGCTGAGGACACTTTTGTCAGAATGCCATTATCAGTCTCATGAACCCTTCTTTTCCTTTAATGAACTATAATTGATTGTAACTGTTTCCAAAATGCCAAGCAGTAATGGTTGATCAAAACATAATTTTTGTTTATTTCTCTTTACCTTACAGTTGCTGTTCTTCGTCATGGATGATTTTGTTCGGAACAAATTAACTGAATGGGATCTCAGTGAGTGGATAGAAACATTTCGAGGTAATACTGAAATGTCTTTCCATGCTTCTGTGTTGGGCACAAATATTATACAATGTTGGTATCTACTAATACAGACATAAAAAATGCTGCAACATGTTTCTGCAGCACAGTGCTGACTTATCATTGACAGACATATTTTTAAGACAAAAGGAGTGATCAGTGTTGACAAATCCTGACAATTCTTGTCTTTGTTTAGAAAGTAAAAAACAGTATGAGTAAAGATCTTGTACGTTTTATGATTAATACTACTCCTCCAATCCCAGCTTGCGTTCACACACTGAATCTGAATAAACGGAGCCAGCCAATCAGGACATGCCTGCCTGAACACAGTAAATAAGAGGTAGTACACTTGCCATCAAACATCCTACACCCTCTTCAGCGAGCTGTGGCCTCAAGGTAGAGGGCTCTGCCTGTGCTAATAGAACTAAGGTTACAATATTGTAAAATTTGTTCTCTCTCACACGTGCTCCGCCCTCACTGAACTCTTTGGGTACAGAGGGTGGAGCCCGCTGAATGAACGCCCTGTTGTCGCATAACATCGACCCAGCTTCACTGATCTTGACCTGCTAAAGGTTAGTCACTGTAGCCTGGCTACTTGTTTATAACCGAGGCGGCCACAGCAAAGAAGTAGGGGGGCCAGCCAACCCAGGTGGTGAGCAACCTAACTGGGTGGAGCTTTGGCCTAACCTTGCAGGGGTCAAAAGATAAGCAACAGACACCCTGCACACCACATTTCAAGGGTCATCAAGGAACATGAAGATATGTTGGTGTATCACACTTAAGTGCAACACAGCTGACATACACTCAACTCTTTTCACCAGCCCTGTGTTGTTGTTGTCGCAGACCATAAAAGGAGCCTGTCATGTCCAAGAGATAGAACTGTATGAACAGACAGGGCATAGACCACATTACCGCCATACATATGTCCTCAACCCTGCTGAGCAAGGCCACAGACACTGCCACACCATGTGTGAAGTGTGCGTCCACCACAGTAGCCTGTAGGTTTGGGAGATGCACTTACAAAGCCATCCTGCAAGGTATTTCTTGGATAGGGCCTTACTGGCCACACCATCACCAAAGCACAGAAACAGCTTTAAGTGCATCTTATTGGGGCTGTGTGATCAACATAACATGCCAACACATGAAATGGGCAGAGCAGATGCAATTTGCCACCCTGTCCCCCTCATAGGGTGAAGCACAAAAAAGCACCCAACCACATTACTTTCAACCTGAACAAACTTCTTATATTCTTGGGAACAAAGGAGGGATTTGGTCTGAGAAGCCCCATTGCTGTCACCAAGAAGCAGCAAGCAACTGGGGTGCATCAATTGGGTGGTTAGTTCACACACTCTCTTAGCTGAGGTCAACGCAAGCAGCAAAACCATCCTAAATGACAGTGCCTTCAGAGTGGAGCGCTCCAAAGGCTCAAAGGGATCCTCCACCAGGGCCTTGAGCACCAGTGGCAGGTTTCATTGTGGGAAGGCAGCATGTATTATCAGGCATTGCCTCCTGACCCCCTGCAAAAACCTCTTCATGAGAGGGTGGGCAAAGACCAGTCTGAAGCCAAAACTTTCATGGCAGGAAGAGATGGCTGCTGCGAGCACTTTAATATTAGCATGTGACAGCCCTCTATCCATCAAATAATGCCAACTGCAGATGAATCTAGCCTCCCTTTCTCACACCAGCATTGGAGCCCCAACCCCTTTGCCTTGTAACATGCAATGGTGGACCCCACTCTTGCTGCCTGAATGGTCTGCACAACCTGCAAAAACATTCCAGCCCTCCTCATCCTGTCCCTCTCAGGAGCCAGCCCTGAAGAGGTTGACCCTAAGTGGGCAACACGCCCATCAAACCTGCCTCCTCAGACCGAGCACCCCAAATTTGGAGGATGGTCTAAGAGGCAACCAGGGGCTATCAGAATGACTGACAGCCACTCCTGACTCACTCTATCCAAGAGGGGAGGAATGAGACGGATGGCCAGAAAGGCATGAAGCATCTTTCTTGGTCATGGCAGCAGGTCATCTTGTGGCACCACAGAGAACCATTGCAGGCAGTGGGCATTGCATCGGCTGTCAATCAGATTCACTTCCGCTTTCCTGAACCGAGTCCAGATCTGCCTCACAACAAATTCTCTGAGGCCCAAAACCACAAGCTCTCTGCCATCCCGGGTCTCGGTACCACTCTCTGCCCGGGCCACTCAGAGGTTGCTTCTGAGCTGCATGAGGCCCGCGGGCCACCAATTGAATAGAGTTGCTGTAAGGTGAAACATCTTCAAGAAACTCAAGCAAGTCCAGTTACCTACGATATAGCACTTAAGATTACCATGACCTGGATGACTAAGAATCTTCACTAACATAAAATACAATCAATACAATCATACAACCAGGCTATCAGCACTGTATGGCTGTAATGCTCACAACTACTGTATGTCCCTCCTTATATCATTTATTTCTACAGCAATTTGAAATTAGTTTTAGTTTTGCATTACTATGATTCAACTGAATATTTTTTGATTACAGCTCAACGCATTGACAAGAAAAATCTTTACTGTCTTGGTCATCAAGAAATCACTGACTTGATCCCAATAGTGGGACCCAGGGCAAGATTCAAGAGAGAACTAGAGTTGTTAAAGGTAATGTTCTGCATTGTAAAGACAATTAACAAAAAACATAATACAAATACAATCTGTTTGACAACAAAAGCATTAAACAGAATTTAACATTTCCTGAAGGTGCTGCATGTAACTCCGGAGAAAGATAGTTGATCGTTGAGTCTCATTCCCAGGTCGTCAAATATTGGTGCTTTGGGTTCGTTGTTCAGTCCAACTACCAACCTAAAGCGTCTGTATTTGATGACCTGGGAATGAGACTCAGCAGTCAACTATCTTCCTCCAGAGTGACAAACAGCAACTTTAACTATTATTGATTTGCAACTATTTTCTTTTGTTACTAGGGGGAACAAAACACAACAAATACAGAAACAGTTGATTCTCCTGCTCAAGTAAGTTGAAAACAGTTTCACACAATTAAGTATCATCTAAGGCACTGTTGCCCAACTATTTGACATGGCAGTCATGTTCTCAGTTGTATTGTAATGAACTAATATCATGTTCTTCAGATGTTTGTTTGAACGTTTGTATTCAATAAACTGAGGGGAAAAGATGATTAAAATAATAAAAAAACACCTTTATTTCATGCAATGACTAATGAAAAAGCACTGCCTATATTCTTTGTCTCTGTGTGAAGGGGCATACGTTTCTCTGCCTGATGACAATATGTGTAATATGTTAGGATTTCCTGGTGACCGTATCAATGATACGCCAAAAACAGCTTCATCTGGGGCAGACAATTTTTCCAATAAATGTTGCCAGATCAGGTGATTTTCCACCCAACTGGGCAGCTTTAGGATGGAATAAATGAATTTGCTGGGTTGACAAAAGTTTGGCCTGGTTCGTCATAGTGCAGATATTTTTATTTTTTTCAGTATTCATTTTTGTTTTAGACTAATATTGACTTTTTGGATCAACCTGGCAACACTGCTAGCCAGAAAGCTACTTAACCAGGCTGGCTGGTCAACCACCAGAGATGCGCCCACCAGATTCTAGCTAGTCAGACCAGCTTGTAGCAAAGAGACATAAGAATACAGTTAGGTCTGTGGTAATATCCTACATATTTGTGAATTTGTCGTGCCATGTGGCGAACTGGGCTTCACAACAACATCCAAAACACAAGCTTCAGTCTCAGTTTCTGTGACAGGAGAAAAACCTTAAAAATACAAATGTTTAAGATGACAAAAACGGCCAATACAGAGTTATCTACAGTGCCGTAGCCCCACCTAGGACAAGTTACAGCACTGCATTTTAGGCACTGAAGAGCCCTGAGACAAAGACTGAGACTCTGACTGGAGAATCATGTCATTGAATCACAATGTTGTGGAGGGAAAAGGGACACTGAACTTGATCACCTGTTAGCTCTTTTCTGGCTCATCCCAGACTGAATGGGAACATAAATACAAATTTTAATGTGTGTATTGTGTGCGTGTTGTGTTTAAGCCTGTAGAGCCCTGTTGGAGGACAAATGCTATGGAAATATATTTTCTTGATCAAACACTGTTTTAAAGACACATTTACATGCTCAACCTCAGGTTCGTCCATCCACTAGTGCTTCAAGTGATAAAGGTGAGATATGAACAGTACGAAACAAAAATTTAAACGCAACACTTTTATTTTTGCTCCTATTTTCCAAAAGTTAAAGATCTAAGTTTTTTTTTTTTTAACTCTATAGATACTTTTCTTTCAAATTTTGGTCACAAATCAACTAAATTCCTTGTTAGTGAGCACTTCTCCTTTTCCAAGATAATCCAACCACCTGACAGGTGTGGCATATCAAGATTCTGATCACAACACAAAAACCACATATGTCACAAGCTTTGAGGGAGCATGCCATTGGCATGCTGACTGCAAGAATGTCCACCAGAGCTGTTGCTTGTCAAGTGAATATTCATTTCACTACCACAAGCTGTCCACAATATTGTTGCCATTAATTTGGCAGTACATTCAACCAGCCTCACAATGCAGACCACATGTAACCACATCAGCCCAGGACCTCTACATCCAAAGTCTTAACCTGCAGAAATCTTGTCCTGGCAGCAGTATGTAATTACAAATGACTTGAGCAGTTCTTTGGTTGGTTAGATGTACTTCCAAATTTAGGGAAACGACATTGGAGACATCTTATGATATTGAAATGAACATTAAGTTCCAAGGCAACATCTCTGGTCCACATTTGTGCAGTCAGCATGCCAACAGCACAAACCCTCAAAACTTGGCAGATCTGTGGCATTATGATGTGTGATCAAACTGCACATTTTAGAGGGACCACTTTAAAATGTAAAAAGTCTTTGATCTTTAACTCAAACTTGTGAAAAATTGGAGTGAAAACAAAAGTGTTACCTTTAAATTTTTGTTCAGTATATTGAGACCATGTTTCAATTTTGTGAGAGACACATGCAACAAACTTCTTTTTTTTAATCCAATAAGTGAAGAGAAAGTTGGATCTTCAGGGCGAGTCCAGCAAATGGCAATCACCAACCAGAAAAAAACGATGTGAACCTAGACTGGGGTCATACTCAGGTATTTCTAATACTTTCTTAAAAATGGCAGCCTACCACAGGGTTATACTTTGTATGTACCTTTATGTACTTCTATAGAAAATGTCTGTTAATATCTTGGCTTCAGTGAATACTACTACAAGCCCTAATGTTAGTAGCTGGTGATATAGTTTTTATATGTTGATGACGATGGCTCCATTGTGTCATCAAGCCATTATTTTAGGCCCACTCAAAAATCCTGGACACAGAAATGGTGAAAAACTACTTCCCAGTCTAACTCCACAATGCAGTACCACACAGTTCCCAGTCTTCCATTTTCAACAAGTATTTTCTAAAATGTATAATGTGTTAAGAAAGAAATGATTGATTTTTCTTTACCTTGACTTTAAATCAAAAACTTAAAGTATTAAATGCAACCGGGCACTGGGCACAAAACATGCATTTATTGAAGGTTTTTTCAGTGTTTTACAGAGAACAACACCCTACATAAAACATGCACAGTACCCACCACATACCCATATACTGGGCCTACAAGTATTACAAGTGCATTGCACTAGCATAATAAAATAAATAAATAAATGAATAAAAAAAGAAAAAGACAAAAGACAAAATTTCAATACAGCTTGTCATCAATCCAACCATCCACATCCATATTGTTTCTCTCAAGGAAGTTATAAAAGATGTTCCGTATTTTCCAAAACTTATCAAGCCTGTTTTTTGTTGTATAACTGATCTTTTCCAAAGCTTTGTAAAATATCATTCCCTTCAGCCATTGTGAAATGGCACAAGATGTATCTGATTTCCACGAGGAAGCAATACAACGCTTGGCTTCCAAAAAGCAAATATCAAGTAGACATCTTACTTTTTGGGAGGTGATAAAGACATCTGGGTGAAGGTTTAGTAAGCATAATTTAGGATTGAGGAGCACTTCCTCACCAATGATTTGGCTCGCCAGATCCAAGACTTTTCTCCAAAATGTGAGAATCTGTGGACATTCCCAGATACAATGGAATAGTGTTCCCTTTTGGTCTTTTTTTGAGTGTTGGGAACATATTTTTAGGTCTCACACGGCGGCACCAAATATGTTGGGAACATATTTTTAGGTCTCACACGGCGGCAGCAAATATATAGGGATTTAAATTCGGCTATCAGAAATAATTAATAATTATTAATAATTAATAATTATGTTAAATAATGTGACTTAATAAACATTAAATCACCTCGTGGGGCACCATTCCTGTAAAGGGAAAATGATAGCCAGATAAAGATATCAGTCTCATAAAATATGCTAAACTATTAATTTGGAGTTTTGATTAATAATTAAATTAATGATGGTCAGGACAAAGACAAAGTCTTGCTTAGCCTTTAAAATTGTGATGAAACTATGCCCAGTTGTTACTTCACCGATCCTTGAGTGGATGGAAGAAAGAGTCCCTTGGTGGTGTACTGCTTTGTTAGCCGGCAGAAGAAGGCTGGGAAGAGCTGTGGTTCCAGCTGCAGTCTTTGTTGTGTCCTTTTTCCAAAGGTTCTGATCCGAGGAAGCCAGACGCTCGGGGTTCTTGCAGAGTTAGACGCTGGGTGCTAACTCACTTAGTTCCTTTTTGCTGGAAAGCTAGTTGCAAACCTTGTGCTTGCAAGCCTAACTTCTCTGGTTCAGGTTTGCCTCAGCCTTGATCGTGGGCAAGTCGTGGTCCAGGAAAAAGAGTCTGTGAACAATAAGCCCCACCTTTGATGGTTCAGGGCAAGGAGCAAGGGCCTGAGCATCTGGGCGGTTCCAGGCCCAGCAGGAAATAGGTGTGGGCTGCTCCGCAGTTCCCGAGTAAGAGAGCAGGACTGTTTGAAGGGAACAGACCTTCTACAGATGCCTGTGACATCACAGAGTCACATGTCACTGTAAAAGTCCTGTCCAATCAAGTTGTGAGACTTGTGTCTCACTGAGGTGTGAGGTGAGACCTCGTGGAGATGCGTGTCAAATTGCTGTCTTTGTTTGGAGAACAAAGAGCATGCAGAGAAGGAAGCCTTTAAATGTCCAGTTTAGATATTACCAAATGACAAATAATCTGTGGTCCTGTGAATCCCAACATGAGGCAGGTATCAGGTATGACCAGCAATGTTCATTAATGTGCACTGTCCTCTAAATAAATAAATAAATAAATGAATGTTGGGATTGAAGTGGTGCAACTTAGATGTGTTATATATAGTCTACTTATCCATTTATATTGTAACAATTTGGAGTTTGTATTTATTAATTGAGTTTGAGTTAGAGAACATGCTTCTGACCATTCCTCCTCTGTTAGATTATCCTGCGATCTTCCAGAGTGGGTCTTGGGGGGGATTGTCAAACTATTACTTTGTCTGGACAAAATAAAGCTTCTAAGTTGCAAATATTTTAAGAAATGTTTTGCAGGAATCCCATACCTTGCTTAAAGGGCCAGTGTGTAAAATGGGTTGAAAACAGTGACATCAGTAGCCAAATTCTAGATTGCAGGGCTCACTCGCTCACCCCTCCCGTCGGGTAAATGACGGCGGCCTCGTAGGGACAAAAAGCCTTGCGCACGAGTTTTTCAGGAGTAGGTCTATCTAGCAATGAGGTGAATGTTTATTTAGAAATCTAAGCCATGTAACGATATTGTAATGAATCCCTCATGAGCAGGAGACCAGAGGAGCATTCGGAAAAAAGGCCTGTTTATTTGAGCACTCCAGAAACTCCGGTAACACTCCAGGGGGTAAAAGACTCCGTCCCAAACTCTGACTCTTCTAGCGTAACACAAACACTCCATAACTTTACACACATACTCGTTTACCATACTGAGTGGGGACCCCCCTCCCCTCTCTGCTCAATCTCCAGCCCGCACACTGACTGACAGCGTAGCCGGTAAACAGAGCTCAGCTGTTTATTTAGCCTAGCGATATCTCCGGACTATAGTAGCTGCAATGGACAACTTTGAACACGATTTTGAAGAGTTTCTTGTAGCGGACACAGACCCAGAGCCATACCTGTTTGAGCCGGAGCATACAGATGAGGAACTCCATGTGTTTGATGCTGAGCAGGCGAGAAGAGAGGCTGAATGCACAGAATGGGATTCGGTGCTACCATCGTTGGGGAGATATATCATCAGGAGGAAAAGCGCTGCAGGGAGTGCATCACAAGGAGTGACGTTGCGTCTTCTTTTCCTCGCAGATGATGGTTCGGGTTCATTTTCTCCTGTTGCATGGTAAGTGTGGTCCAATCACAAACTTTATAACTAAAAAAACTTTTCACTACTCTCTATCGACGAACTACTAACACTCTCTGCTGTTTCCTCCTCCTTCTTCCTTCCTCCCGCTGTCTTCGTTGGTTCATTTATACACGCGAAATGCGTTCTCTGGCTGGCTGGACTGTCAGCTCGGTCTGCCATACATACATGGCAGCGCAAGTTGGTGACCTCTCTAAAGCAAGGCCCTTACTATATATATATCTAAAAGCATAATTATAAGGCTACGAAAACCAAACGAATTTTATTTTATAGCAATTATACACTTGTATAAATATATTAATGGGTAGAATATTCAGATTCAGATTCAGATTGACAATAAACCATGCCAAATATTACACACTGGCCCTTTAAGTTCCTCAAATGAAGTAAAAACCAAGTTGTCATTGTAGAGGTCAGCTACTTTGGCTATTTCCTGAGATGCTCAGATTTTAAACCCTGGGTCTGCTCTACCAGGTTGGAAGTCATCATTGCCATTAATTGGCGTGAACGGTGATAATTTTATATTTTCTCCCAGGTATGCAAGAGAATTATGCCAAACCATTAAAGTGTTTTTGAGAAAAGGATTTTTAGTCTTTTTAGTCAGTTTAGTTTTGTTTGCAGAGTATATGTACAAATTTAGAGGTATGTCAATTAAGTGTGACTCTATGGAGACCCACACTGGGGGCTGATTCCTCTCAAAATAAAACATTCCTGCTCTAATTTGAGCCGCCCAGTAATACCACTCAAGGTTAGGCAATTGTAGACCTCCCCTTTCATATGGTAAATATAACAAGGAGAGCCTTATTCTGGGGCGTTTGTTGTTCCATATAAAATTTGTAAAAAGCTTTTTAAGTAAATGAAAAAGCGAAGGTGGAGGAGCAAGGGGAATAGATTGAAAAAGATATAAAAATTTGGGCAAAATTGACATTTTCAAAACATTTATCTCAATCATAGAAATTGGTAGATTTGTCCATCTATTTATAAGGTGTGTAACCTTATCTGTCAAGGTATTATAATTATTGGGTACAATTTTGTCAATAGTAGGGGCAATGTTAATACCTAGGTAGGCAAAACCTTCTTGTGAGACCAGAAAATGAGTATGAATTGGAGGAGTTTGTCTCTCCTTTTTATCTAAAAAGAGTAATACTGATTTGGAGTAGTTTATTTTGTATCCTGCAAAGGTCCCATAATAGTTTGATAGATCAAGTATAGTGGGTAAAGTCTGCTTCAAATTAGAGCAAAACAAAATAACATCATCAGCGTACAACGCTATACGATGTTCAGCATTTCCTATTCTTATGCCTGTATAGTCACTATTCTTATGGATTGCCATAGCCAGTGGCTCGATTGCTAGGGTGAATAACAAAGGAGACATGGGGCAGCCCTGTCTTGTTCCCCTGTATAGTTTAAATGGTGCAGATGATAATCCGTTTGTTAAGACTACAGCCTGGGGGTCAGCATATAGAAGTCTGATCCAACAGAGAAATTTTTTCTTTATGCCAAATCTTTGAAGAACCTCAAATAGGTAGTACCATTCCACCTTGTCAAAGGCCTTTTCGGCATCCAGTGACAAAATGGCAGCATCATTACATCCAGATTTCTCAAAAACAATGTTAAGCACTCTACGTATATTGTGGAAGCCTTGTCGTCCAGGAACAAAACCCTTCTGGTCAGGGTGTACCATTTGTGGTAAGAGTGTTTCCAACCGTTTAGCTAGCACCTTACAAAGTACTTTGAGATCATTGTTAAGAAGAGGGGTCGGTCTGTAAGTTCCACATTGGGTGGAAGTCTTTCCTGGTTTTAACAACAGAGTGATTGCTACCATATTTAGAGAGGAGGGGAGGGACCCATTGTCTAGAGACTCATTAAACATTTCAAGTAAAGGTGTTATTAGTGTTTCTTGAAACTTTTTCTAAATTTCAATGGGTATCCCATCTGGCCCGGGGGTCTTACCCCCCTTCATACTACCAGTGGCTGCAGACAGCTCTTTAGGGGTTACATCAAGGTCTAGATTCACCAGAGAATTCTCATCCAGTGGTCTCATGTTTACAGAGTCCAAAAATTCCTTTTGTTTTTGTAAAACTGAGAAGGTATAATCTGTACTGTATAAATTTTGATAAAAACCCAAAAACGCTTTATTAATCTCCTTTGGGTCAGTAGTCTCAAGACCATCATCTAATTGAATTGAATTTATTGCTCTTTCAGTTTCAGACTGTTTAATACGCCAGGCTAAGAGCTTACCAGCCTTTTCTCCTTGCTCATAATAGGACTGCTTTAATTTCAGCAAGCTTTTAGTTGCTTTATTTACTGACAAAACATATATTGCCCTAAGTTCAGTAAGTAATTTAAGTGTTTGTTGGGAAGGATTTTGAAAATGGTCAGTTTCAGTTTCTTTTATCCTTTTTTCTAACTGTTCCATCTCTAGCTTCCAAATTTTATGTTTTGAGCTAGTGAAACTTATCATTTGGCCTCCCAAAAAGGCTTTGAATGCTTCCCACCGTACAGCAGCTGAAGTTTGAGTTGTGTTGTATTCAAAATAGACATCAATTTGTGCCCCAATAAACTCCATAAAATCTGGGTCCTTGAGCCAAAAAGGCTGAAGGCGCCACCTTGTGGTGTGATTTAGACATTGTGGCAAATTCAAACTAAATGAAACTGAGGCATGGTCTGAAATTATAATGCTGTCAGCTTTTGGAAACCATAGAAGCCAAAGAGGCAGAAATTAAAAAATGATCAATTCTGGAGAATGTCTGACAGGTAGCGGAATAACATGAAAAGGTTGACTGGTGATCTTTTCTCCATACATCAAGTAAGTTAAACTCTTTAATATATTGCAGCAGTTCTTTCCTAGTCTGCATATGAGAGGAAGGGTTGTCCTCATTTGGTCCATATAGATTTACAAGGTTTAACCTGACTGAAAAAAATTCACACTGAATAACAAGATATCTCCCAAATCTGTCTTCATTAACACTGATGAGGTGAAATGGCAGGGAATTATGTATTAGAGTAATCACCCCACGGGAGTGAGAGCTGAAGGAGGCTGAAAAAACTCACCCTGGCCATCTTCTACTAACTTTAACTACATCTTTAGGTGATAAGTGCATCTCCTGGAGAAAGACAATCTTAGCTTTAAGGTGTTTGATCCTACTCATTACTTGCTTTAGCTTGATAAGTTTGTTTAAACCTCTTACATTCCAAGAGGTGAGCTGAAATTCAGATGGCATGTCTTACTACAATATAATTGTGGGTCAGAATTGAGTATCAAATAAAAAAGAAAAACATTTGAAAGAAGTGAAGGTATGTGCCTATGAACAAGAACAAAAACATGAACGTGACTAAGCGTATTTCACCAAACAAAATACACACATCCCTACCCTGTTACACACTTCCCATTGGCCCATAAACAGAGCCTGGCTACGGAGCTGGAGCCAGTTGCACCACCTCTCACTAAGTGTTTACTAACCTTAGTAAAAGTGTAAGTGTTTACTAAATCAAGATTTAGTCATTACTAAATTAAAATGGGTTGTACCAATTTTACTAGGAATCACATAGAGCTAGTAATTACTAAGTGTTGACTAAATATTTACACCTACCCTAAGGGTTGTGTAACTGTTACCTAGTTACCTAGTTTGCCGACACAGGATTAAAACCAACTGAAGAAAACATCAACTATGGCTCGTTTAGAGAGGCTTGCTCTACAAAACAGAGAACCTACCGTTAGGAAAAGGGTTTTGAGAGACCGAATCCACCCTTTGGATGTGTACGATGACTTCGATATTTACTGTCGGTACCGGTTCAGGCGCCACCAGATAATGCGGATCACGGACATGCTGGCTCCGGCAATTGAGCACGGGTCCGAGTCAAACGGGGCTCTACCTCCGTCGCTACAAGTGACAATCGCGTTGCAATACTTCGCTACGGGGTCGATGCAGAATGTGGTTGGGGACACGATCCAAGTCCACAAAAGTACTGTGTGCCGGGCAGTGTGCCGGTGGCGCTGGCATTGTGTGGGCACCTCAACGACTACGTGCAGCTGCCCTCAGGAGCGAGACAGGACGTGGTGAGGCAGAAATATCATAACATTACATATCGCTTACGGTAGGCTACTTACCGACTGAAGAGACTGTGGAGCATCTTGCCCGGCTGCGTCCAGCTGTTCCTGTGTACATTCTGCTCCACACGCTGATTGGGTAGCCAAGTTGTCGTCGTCACGTCATGCGACTAGTAACCACTTACGCATCTACTAGATATGGGATTGCGTAAACTGGTCTGGTGCAACCGAAATTAGTAAACAACTAGTTGCAAACTAGCTAGTAATTCCTAAGGGTTTAGTAGTGGTTTAGTAATTACTAAATCCTGAATTTAGTAGAGAGATACGCCAAACTGGTGCAACCCCACCCTGGGCTGGTCCACCCATGTACACATGACGAGGAACAACATGCCAAGCGATCATGACAGCTCCACACAAAAACATCTGAAGTTAATGTAGCAATCGGATATCTGTTTGCAATATCAAAAAAATATCAATATGTTTAAAATGTCCAGGAGCAAATACCTGTATTGTGCATCCATATTAAATGCTAGCCTACTGCTACTCCGTGTCCAAAGCTGACTCACTTGCCTCTGGGGTCAGGTATTCAGACTTAAATTGTTGCACAAAAGCCTCCGCTTCGAGTGCTGTGTAGAAGATGTGCCGTCTTCCCTTGAACATCAGGAGGAGTTTAGCTGGGTGGATTATTCCATAGCGCAGATCGCTGATAGAGAGGGAAGCCAGTTCCTTCTTCGCTGAATCAAAGATCTTCCTGCGCTTGAGTAGGTCAGCAGAGACGTCGGGAAAAAACATTACATTCTTATGGTCGACAATTACCTGTCTGGGTCGTGCAGTGGTTGACTGACCTTCCTTGTTGTTCAGTCTGCCAAATCGATGTGCCCTCTCAATTAAGTCTGGCCCAGGAAAGTTATGTCCACCAAGCGTTTCAGGAATCCATTTTTCCAAAAAAGCACACCTATCCACCCCCTCAATTGACTCGGGCAGTCCCACCAGGCGGAGATTAGAGCGGTGCGCTCGGTTTTCCAAATCGTCCACTTTTAGCACTAGCTCCTCCATAGCTGCTTTCATAGTAGTGGTTTGCGATTTCAAAGAGGCAATGTCTTCTTCATTGGTGTTAATCCTATCTTCTGCTCCAGACATTCGGCCCGCTATTGCCTTCAAGTCACCTTGCATTCCTTGAATACTGCCTAATAACCCCTCAAATCTTGACACAAAGTCCTTTTTCATTGTCTGGATAGCGTCAAGAACTGGTCCAGCGCTAGTTGAGTCGTCATTGCTAGCAGAGGAGCTTGCTAGCTCCATTGGACTGGAGGAGTCATTTTGCGGTTTAGTAGAGGGTTTTGGACTCACGATTTCCCAGACATTTTAGTTAGTTTAAAATTTAGAGACAAATAGTAAATTGAACACTAAGTTCTACAGAGTCTTGCTATTATTTAAAATTTCTTTGGAGCTTTCTGTCACATGTCTGCCTAGCAGCGCGCCATAACCGGAAGTCCTTTTTCTCCTCTTAAATACAACAAGACACCTGATTATGCATTACTGCTTACTTTATACACTGGTTCCTGCTGAATGGTTCGTTGATTTTACTCTGACAGAAGGCATTATACTGTCTGATGTGAAAAACATCATGGGATTTGTCCAAAACAGACTACCAGACCAAGACAACAAGCTCCATCAGTTCCTAAAGTAAGTATTGAGTTTTTGGTATTCCATATTCTGTGTTATATGGACCTGTCTTGTTGAGCCGCTCTATATTTTGCTCTTAAATTAATGTAACATATACCTAAGCAAGCTGGACAGTTTCATGAAAAAAAAACTACATACTGACTTATTTTAAGCCTAAAAAGCATAACATCTGGCTCTTTAGCTGCTTAATACCTCATGTTCACATGCTAGTTGTTATTTTGGTGTGTCTGCCAGGTACCGCAATGATTTATTAGAGTGTTTTGGCTGAAATCAGCTGCTTACTGTGTTTGAAAGTGAGTCCAATGAGAGTTGGTCAGAAAAGTTACGTTTCTGGCTGAAAAACTGAAACCAATGAGTGAAAGACAATCTAAAGCCCCGTAAAGCTGAGGGGAACCTCAAAGTCTGGTGATGATTCTGTGTGGTGTCATCTCTTGACGACCCTGCTCACATACAAGTCGACATTCGAACCAGTTAATATGAAAATATTGATTACAGCTGTTTGACTAGGCTGGTTATACTATAGACGTTTTTCTATTGTGACATGTTCCTTCAGTGTTTGTTTATTTTCCAAATTATTGAGTTAACTCATGTTCAACCTCTTGTACAACAGGAAGAAAATTGGTGATTTGGAGATCGACAAGAGGGAGCTGGTCGGTGTCTTTGGTAAAACCGGGGCTGGAAAGAGCACTCTGATAAATACCATGATTGGAGAGAAGAATCTCTTGCCTATTGGGAGGGTCAAAGCATGTACCACAGTCCTGATTAAAGTGGAGGCTAACATGCAGGACCAAAAATATGAGGCAGAAATTGAGTTCATTACAAAAGAGGTAAAATTAGTTAAAAATACTGTATTTATGTTCACTTGAAGCAAATTAAAAAGTTATGATGTAGCTGAAGATACACATAATATTTAATTAAAATGAAATAAATTAATTCATTTTTAGGAGTGGAAAGATGAGTTGTGGTCCTTGTTAAATTTCCTTGGGGATAATGCTGATCAGGAAGATGAACAGGAAGATGAACAGGAAGGTGATCAGGAAGATGGTGAGGATCAGGACACTGTTGACAAGCTGTCAGCGCTGTATGGAGCAGAATGGAAAGACAAAACCCCTGAAAACCTCATGGAAAACAAGTATTTCAAAGAAGTTCCTGAATTTCTCCAATCAAAGAGAAAGCTTTTGACATCTGAATCAGTAAGTAAGACAAAATAAATGTGTGTGTGTGTGTGTGTGTGTGTGTGTGTGTGTGTAGATACAGTTATTCAACACATGTAAAAGTATAATGAGTAAGTAAAAACTGCTTAAACCCTTTGTCTTTTTTGAAGGGGGACAGGGGATCCTTAGCCCAGCTAAGGCTTAGCGCTGTGTGTCATGTTTTTCTAATAACAAATCTGTAATAAACATTGTGTTTGTTATGCCCTTTTTTAAACTTTGAAAGTTCAGAGTGTATAGGGTCTTAGAACATTATGATAAAAGAATTCCTGTGCTCAATTATGTCTCTTAAGTTATTGCAAAAAAAAATGTGTCCCTCCAAAATACCACATCAAGACACAAAGTCCTAGAGGAACACCATGGAAAAATCCATGCTTTGATCTGGTATCAAAAACTTTTAACATTTTAAGATTTATGTAGAAATTGCATTTTTCAAAACTTCATAGGACGAGCATAAATTAGGCTTTAACTCAGTCCGCTACAGCCTCTTAAAGACAGGAATGGTGGCCAAGACTTCCAGCGGCCCTGTGGGTCTCAGAGGTTTGTAGGCGCAAATACCTTTTAGAGAATGTTTGCACTCGTAATAAAGTTTGAGGCACCACCCTCGCAGGCTCCACTTCACTCCCCTTAACTCAGCTGCCAGATAAACCCACTGTTTCTTCCCACTTTAACCTGAATAGCAAACCAGGGCTTGGTGCTCCAGTTGGATCCAAATGGAGAGCCAGAGCTAGCTCAGAGCTAGCCACTCCCAGCTAGCTCCAGCTCTCTGGTTGGATCCAAACTGAGAGCCGGAGCTAGCCCAGAGTTAGCCACTCCCAGCTAGCCCAGGCTCTCCGGTTGGATCCAAACGGAGAGCCGGAGCTAGCTCAGAGATGAGCGGAGGCTAACTGGCTGTGCGTCCTCCCTCATGCTGCGGCTAATGCTCTGCTAGCCACTTCCAGCTAGCCCCGGCTCTCTGTCTGGATTCAAACGGAGAGCTGGGGCTAGCTGGGAAGGTAGCGGAGGCTAACTGGCTGTGCTTCCCTCCGGTCATGCTGTGGCTAAAGCTCCCAGCTAGCTCCGGTTTGTTATTCAGGTTAAAGTGGAAAGAAGCACTGGGTCTGTGGGCAGCTGAGTGAAGTGGAGCCTGAGGAGGAAGCACCAGTTAGCCCCGGTTTCACAACAGGCACATTCACTTGCTACAGGGGCGAGGGAATAAAACTTAAACAGCCAATCAGAGTGAGCGCTTTCACCGACTAGCTCCGCCGGTGATTCAACATGCTCAATCAGCTGAAAAGCCGCCGATGCGACGAAGAACTAGGCCGACCGACGGCCCAACTTTGGTCGACCGTCGGCTTGGTGTGTCAGGGCCTTAAGTCTAGACATTACTTTATTTTGGAGGAAACTTAATGAACTTTTAATGAAACTTTAATTTGTGAGATTGTATACTTTAGCAAGTTACCCGCGATAGACACATACTCTAACGATTATGGTCAAAATCGGCTCTTAACATCAAATTAAATTAAATATGATTATTATACTGCATGTATCAGCGGAACACAAGTATAAACTGTTTCGTATACACACACTCTAGACTAACCTGCAGTTGCAATAAAACAGAATGAGAAGGCACATATTCATGAAAACAAGTTGATTAATCAATCCAACTATATTTTAACTCTAAACATAATGTGGGATTCCTTAAGGGAATCCTCCTTAACTACTGTCACAAGATGACAGTATGGCTCCATGTGAAATGAGGGATTAAAAACCTAAACATATAATTTCCTGATACTTTATTTTACAAGATTAAAAATCATCGTTCAACTAACAAACAAGGATTATGCACATTTACAATGTTAGAACATAAAAAAATGTATAATTTTACTTCCAACAAACATTTCAAGTTGGTTACAAGAGACTTGGTAAGAGAGGAGGATGAACTTAGAACCAGGGTCGACCCCTGGTTGGGTAATTAATCTAAGTCCATTTGTGTTGTCCCAAGATGTTAATGACATGCGGGACGAAGAGGGGTCTTAAGTGACCTTTTTACCTCTTCTTGGCACAAGGATGGCTGAAAGGAGCATTTGTCAAGACTGGGGTGTGAGGCCAGGGGCAGAGTCCTAAACATTTGACCCTCCGGTGGTCTCTCGTTGGTCTGTTCACTTATAATCCTGGTTCCGGGCGAGTTAAGCAGGGGTGTTCCTCCTACAGGTTAAAGAGTGGACTTGGTCCATCTGTGCTAAATAATACAAACCCAGATAAAATCCTGCTATACAGTACAGGCCAAAAGTTTGGACACACCTTCTCATTCAATGCGTTTTCTTTATTTTCATGACTATTTACATTGTAGATTCTCACTGAAGGCATCAAAACTATGAATGAACACATGTGGAGTTATGTACTTAACAAAAAAAGGTGAAATAACTGAAAACATGTTTTATATTCTAGTTTCTTCAAAATAGCCACCCTTTGCTCTGATTACTGCTTTGCACACTCTTGGCATTCTCTCCATGAGCTTCAAGAGGTAGTCACCTGAAATGGTTTCCACTTCACAGGTGTGCCTTATCAGGGTTAATTAGTGGAATTTCTTGCTTTATCAATGGGGTTGGGACCATCAGTTGTGTTGTGCAGAAGTCAGGTTAATACACAGCCGACAGCCCTATTGGACAACTGTTAAAATTCATATTATGGCAAGAACCAATCAGCTAACTAAAGAAAAACGAGTGGCCATCATTACTTTAAGAAATGAAGGTCAGTCAGTCAGCAAAATTGCAAAAACTTTAAATGTGTCCCCAAGTGGAGTCGCAAAAACCATCAAGCGCTACAACGAAACTGGCACACATGAGGACCGACCCAGGAAAGGAAGACCAAGAGTCACCTCTGCTTCTGAGGATAAGTTCATCCGAGTCACCAGCCTCAGAAATGGCAAGTTAACAGCAGCTCAGATCAGAGACCAGATGAATGCCACACAGAGTTCTAGCAGCAGACCCATCTCTAGAACAACTGTTAAGAGGAGACTGCGCCAATCAGGCCTTCATGGTCAAATAGCTGCTAGGAAACCACTGCTAAGGAGAGGCAACAAGCAGAAGAGATTTGTTTGGGCCAAGAAACACAAGGAATGGACATTAGACCAGTGGAAATCTGTGCTTTGGTCTGATGAGTCCAAATTTGAGATCTTTGGTTCCAACTGCCGTGTCTTTGTGAGACGCAGAAAAGGTGAACGGATGGATTCCACATGCCTGGTTCCCACTGTGAAGCATGGAGGAGGAGGTGTGATGGTGTGGGGGTGTTTTGCTGGTGACACTGTTGGGGATTTATTCAAAATTGAAGGCACACTGAACCAGCATGGCTACCACAGCATCCTGCAGCGACATGCCATCCCATCCGGTTTGCGTTTAGTTGGACGATCATTTATTTTTCAACAGGACAATGACCCCAAACACACCTCCAGGCTGTGTAAGGGCTATTTGACCAAGAAGGAGAGTGATGGAGTGCTGCGGCAGATGACCTGGCCTCCACAGTCACCGGACCTGAACCCAATCGAGATGGTTTGGGGTGAGCTGGACCGCAGAGTGAAGGCAAAGGGGCCAACAAGTGCTAAACACCTCTGGGAACTCCTTCAAGACTGTTGGAAAACCATTTCAGGTGACTACCTCTTGAAGCTCATGGAGAGAATGCCAAGAGTGTGCAAAGCAGTAATCAGAGCAAAGGGTGGCTATTTTGAAGAAACTAGAATATAAAACATGTTTTCAGTTATTTCACCTTTTTTTGTTAAGTACATAACTCCACATGTGTTCATTCATAGTTTTGATGCCTTCAGTGAGAATCTACAATGTAAATAGTCATGAAAATAAAGAAAACGCATTGAATGAGAAGGTGTGTCCAAACTTTTGGCCTGTACTGTACATTACATTCCGGACTTCCGGGTTCTGCCGCTACTCACCGGTAACTTTTAAGTGTTTTTACGGCTCTCCGACCTCAAACTGTCCGTGCAACTCCTCTCTAGTGGGAATCTAACCCTCTACCTTCGCTTGATGTTCGTTATTCGTGCTGCCATCACCCATCGTGTTTCTGAGAGCAGGCTAACTTCAGCCTACCTGCTCGGCTCACCACCTGGCTCCAGGTCTCATCGTCTCCGCCATGCTCCACAATGTGGGTCAGCGGGGTCTATGTGTCGGCTATTCTGGTGTGGACTGTCTTGTTGCTCCTCCATCTTCCCGTGGAAGGACTCCTCCAGTACTCGGCGGCAGAGCTTCTCAGGCTCCGCTCCCAACAGTCTGGATCTCCACCGGCAGCTCTGCACCTCCATCCGGACATCGTCCTCCTGCCTCGTCGGAAGTACATCCACCGCGGGTCTCGGCGGGGATTCCACTACGGCGGTTCCAAGGGGATTGCCTCCTTTTGGTCCTCCACTCGCCACCCACCCAGAAACACCGGCCGGTCTGTGGACCACAGTGTGTTAGCCGGCCTGGCTCACCCAATATAATTCTGCTAGGAGATTTCAATATCCACATGGACAATACTGCTCTTCCCCTCACCATGGAGTTCTCATCACTACTTGACAGCTTTGGTTTCCAACAGTTTGCAGACTTCTCCACACACATAAAAGGTCACACAATTGATTTAATTTGCTGCTCAGGTCTCACCCCCTCCAACTGTACTGCTGACAAACTTCACATTACGGACCATTTCCTCCTCTCTTTTAACGTCACCCTCCAGCTCTCTATCTCCAAACCTCTCCGTATCATCTCATACCGCAATATTAAGAACATCAACATGGACTCCCTCTCCTCCTGCATCACCACCCTGACTCCAGACCCCACTTCCACCCCCGATGATCTCGTCACACAGTACAATAATGGACTCTCCAACATACTCAACACACTTGCTCCTGTCAAATCCCACTCTGTCTCCTTTACCCGGTCTGCCCCCTGTTTCACCCCACATCTCCATTCCATGAAATCCCAAAATCGACTGCTTGAAAGACTCTTCAGGAAAACCAGTCTCAATATCCACAAAAACATCTACTTAGCTCAGTTAACTCTCTATAAGGACTCCATTTCTCATGCCAAATCTCAATACTACTCTGGACTCATCTGCTCAAATGCTGGAAACACCAAGACTCTCTTCTCCGTTTATAACAGAATCATTCAACCCCCAGACTCCCTACCCCCCCACATGTACTCCTCAGACACCTGTGAGTCCCTTCTCCGGTTTTTCAATGACAAAATCAATAAAATTCACCAGCACTTGGGCTCCACTTCCTCACCACTCCCCTCCTCTGAACTCCTCCCTCCTTATCAACCATTCTCCACCTTCAAACTCCCTCATCCCTCAGTTATCTCTGACCTCATCAGAAAGTCCAAACCTTCATCCTGCCAGCTAGA